GGCGCCACGTAGCGAAAAGAAGAAACGACTGGCGCGCTGTTGTTAACTCGGCTATAATCGCGTAAGCGGTGTCTACGCCAATTAAGAAGAAGAATGTGCCGCGAATTCGTAGTTTACAGAAAAGGAAACGAAACGACAACTTTTGGTGGACCCTCAAGAAGCCAGTAAACGAAGAGTGCTACTTCGAAGCGTTCGGAATGAGCAAGAAGTCTTTCTTAGGGTTGTGTTTAGTATCGCGCCGGTTAATTTTGGACCCCGTACCTAAACGAGAGAACCAAATGGAAAATTTTAAACACGCATGTATGCTTAAATTATCGAACTTTGTTTTAAAACATATTTTATGAAAATCGGTTCACAAATTTTTCCACAAATTCGCTTCAAAAAATTCTATTTTTTGCAAATTTCTAAATATATGCTAGTGTATTTTCATCTGTTGTGCATTGTACCAAACCAATTATGGATACATTTTCACGCACATATATTAMTTATGAATTATAAAAACCACTAGTAATGTTTTTAATTACTTTTGATTGTTAATTTCATTGTAAATCTTTAAATAAAATACACCTTTTTCTGCATTGAGTTTAATAATGCGAAAAACCAAWATTACTGCCTAATTTGAACTGTCAAATTACCGAGAAAGCACGAACAAAAAGGAATAAATTAARCCCACTTAGCAATAAATGTATGAAGTGAACGCGAAAAGGTGTTCAATGCTAAAATACTGTGGATGGCGTAGCCGGTGTTCGACCGGCCAAGGTTATTTTTTTAAAGCGCCGAAGGATAGATGCAATTAAATATGTATATACATTGCACTGAAACATTTTGGATTTCTTTATTTTAATTTCTTGTCCATACAAAAATGTTGGCTGGGTTGCATTGGTTTCAGTYTGCATGGAAAAATGAGCAAAAACACTGATTTCTGGTCATTTTTAAAGGCCTCCCTTCAGGTTCATAGGGGCTCTAGGGGGTCGATGGGGGGGGTTTATTAAAAAGTTAGGTCGTTCTTCTTTCCAATAAGGGGTCGGGAGGGGGGTAGCCCGACCCTGCTTTTCTCCATAAACGATACTTAACCGGCGCGATACTAAACAATCCCCCAACAGATAAACAAATTGCAATCTGTCTATACAAATTAGCACCTTGTGCAGAATATCGGGTTGTCGGTGATGTTTTTGGTGTACACAAAAGCACAGTTCACAAATACTTTCATTTAGTAGTGAGTGCCCTAATACAACTGAAAAATGAAATAATCAAGTTTCCAAAAATGGAAGACGCATAAATAATTGCAATTGAATTCGAAAAGAAGTCTTGTATTCATCGAATAGCTTGAGGTGGTACATAAATATATCTAGCTAGTAAATCTATAAATTTTTCAGGTACCCATGTTCCAGTCTTGCCGCCAAGTGATGGATTCTTAGATTTTGTAATTTTTTGTTAAATAGGATGGCCCTCGATTGTAATGCAAGCGAGCGTAGATAACAACTATTTGTAAGAAGATATGTAGTAAAACGTACATTTTGGTGTAAATTATTAAACATTTTGTTCAATTAATACAGGTTTACAGACGTCAGCGTGAAGCTTCCAGGTAGTACTCACGATGCGACGGTATTTAAGGAATCAGGATTATTCAAAAACTCAACCCGTATTCCAATATACACGAAATTTGTAAATAATATTAAAACGCCTCTATTTCTTGTTGAGGACCCTCATATCCCCTTCTTAAATGGTTGATGAAGCCATTTATTGGCAACTTAAATGCTGAAGAGGAATCGTTCAATTGTCACTTGAGTTCCGCACTAATAGTAGTAGAAAACGAATTCGGCAGATTGAAAGGACGCTGGTGATGCATTGCAAAACGAATCGATGTCGACCCTGCTTTCGTTCCACAAGTTGTTCTGTCTTGTGCAATTCTACACAACTATGTTGAGCAGCAGAAGGAATCATATTTGGAGTTCTGGTCCCAATCCGTCCAAGAAGATATACATTACCCACAGCCACAAGATACTATTACAAGTGAGATGATTAGCGAAAGAAACATCCATCCCAAAGATTTGCGAAATAATATTAAAAATTGGCTGAAAGACAATTATCCTTTACGAACGTCACATTTCCAACAATTTTTTCCGTATTTGCGCTAATAGTGGATATACCTACTTAACTTTGTCTTATATACCGCCTCACTCGGACATACATATCTGTATATATGCAGCGTGCTTCATTAATAAATAACGTTTTCTCAATGGCCCATAATACTGACACCATGATTGTTTTGGGGGATTTCCATTTACCGTCCGTATCATGGAAATCTATTGATGACTACACCATTCCTATTAGTACTCGCTTATGTTTTAACGAGTTCTTAGATAAAATGTCGGAGTTTGGTCGTAACCAAATTAATTTAATCTCGAACGAGTTTGGTAAGTTCTTAGATCTAGTCTATGTTGATAACGCTTCAATGTTCTCTGTTGTCCGATGTGATCCTTTGGTTCGACCAGAGGACTCGTATCATCCTGCCTTCGAAATTAACATCGAAACCATAGCCAACTTTGCTCACAATAATACACAACCATTGTTTTCGGTTCAACTTTGCGAAAGCTAATTTTAAAAAAATTAATCACGAACTTTCTAAAGTTACTTGTCCAGATTACAATGGCAACATTGAATTTAGTGCTTACCACTTTAATGAAACTATTTCAAACTTATTCGAAAAATATGCCCCGAAGTGTGTTGTTACTCATAAAATGAGTTCTAATTTATGGTTTTCGAAAGAATTATGTAAATTAAAAAATAGAAAAACTCGTGCTTTTAAACTTTTTAAAATAACTGGTTTAGTTGCTGACTATTCAAAATATTCTAAATTACGCCGACAATTTGCTGAATATGTTATAATTATATAAATAAAGTCAAAAATAATATTATACGTAATCCAAAATTGTTCTATGGTTTCGTCAACTCCAAACGCAGGATTTCTAATTTCCCATCTGCTATGAAATATAAGTCTAGTATGTCCAGTGACAACCACACCATTTCTAATATGTTCGCTGAGTTCTTTAGGTCCAATTACTCTCAAAAGTCTCCAAAAAATGTTCCGAATCAACACAAGCTATGTCCGATTTCTGTCATTAATGCACCTACCATTTCCGAAGCAGACGTCTTATACCAGTATCAGTTAAATATGTTGGAACAATCATACAATTATGGCCCAGATATGATTCCCTCGTGCTTTCTTAAGAAATGTGACAAATATAT